AGAAACAATAAGCAAGTAAACATACAAAGGGGACCATCATGGAGGCAGTCTGCTGTGCAGCAAGCAAGCAAGATTATTCGGTGGCTGCAAGACTGTTTCAGTAGAAGGGACAGGTGCTGTTGAGCTGGCATCTTTGTCGTGTAAAACTGATGACAAAATGCAAGTTCCCTGAAATCCCCATTTGAGGGGTGCCTGGTTGGCTCAGTGGGTTAAGCCTCTGCCTTCGGGTCAGGTCATGATCTCAGGGTCCCTGGGATCAAGCCCCTCATCGGGCTCTCTGCTCAGTGGGGAGCCTTCTTCCCCCCTCTCTCTGCCTGCCTCTCTGCCTACTTGTGATCTCTGTCTGTCAAATAAATAAATAAGTAAATCTTTAAAAAAAAAATCCTCATTTGATGGGCAGAGGGTCTGAGGCTCAGAGAAGCTAAGGCATGTGTTCAAGGTTACACAGCAAGTGAATGGGAAAACAGGGAGTGATTCAGGCTAAGGCCAGCAGACACTGAAAGTTCACACCAAAAGCTTTTGCTCCCGTCCCCACCAATCACACCACACTGCCTCTCTTCTGGGCCCCGGGCCATGTCAGCTGGAGCACCGGAGGAGCTGGAAGCAGGGGGTTCAGGGGTGTGAAGTCTGGGCTGCCCGCTGCTCTGTGACCACTACAACACATCCAAGAGTCTTACAAGCAGCCAAGGGCATAGCAGTGGCTCTCCTGGTCCCACCTCCCTCCTCCTCTAATTGAGATGTCAACCTTCTGTCTCATTCCCTCCCATTCCGGACACCTTGCAGCGCTCTCCCCAGCGACAGCTGATCTCCCCCTGTGCCCCTGAGCACCCTCCAGCAGGAAGACATAAAGTGAGAGTCTGGCAGCCAGATGAGTGAGCACTCCGTCAGCACCTCTTCTTTTCTGTCTGCTCTCTTTTTCCCTCTTATTCCCTCCTCCCTCTGCCTCCCTCCTCTTCCTCTCCCCCCCACCATGCTCCCTCTTTCTCTCTCCCTCTGCCTCCTGCAGGCTTTGAGACCAAAGGGCCAATTAATCTTGCTGCCACCACCTTGGCTAAACTGCGCACTGGTCCACAGGCAGAGGCCTCCCTACCAGGACTGCCTGCTTGGTCCCTGGAAACCATGGCTAATTGGTAAAAGATCACATTTGTTTTTCCACAGCCTGAATCCTCCAAAGGAGGTTCTGCCAAGCCAAGCCAAGAATTCCACTCTTCTGCATCAATCACCAGGGAGACCGCTGGGGTAACCTGTCACCCAGAGGGTGACATTCAGACCTGCTGTTCTACCCTGACATGTGGGCTTTGCTGACGAGCATTACGGCTCCCAAATCCATACACGCTTTCCAGCAGCACACACAGCAGAATGCTCGAGAACATTTGTTTAATGTGCTGCAGGCTTGCTTTACTCATGGAATTTTACCTAAATATCTCATGGAAACATCACGCAGGTCTTTTATTCGGAGGGACTACCTTGTATACCTGCTTCCTTTATGCAAGTGAGATGTTCCAGAAAAGTGAAATATCAGTGAGATTCTCCCCACATTGAGTTACATTTTACATCAAACATAGGCAAATCTTGCAAATTAACACGCAGCAAATCTCTGAACTCAGTTTCGTTATAAGAAAAATGGGTTTAATAATTTTTGTCCCAGCTAGCTTACAGGGCTGTTGAGAGATGCATGGAATAAAATTTTAATTTTGTGGATGTACTTTGTAACCTGCAAAGCACTTTATTACAACAAAGTAATGTTGTCGCTAAAATGAAGACATAGTTGGCCAAGTACATTACCACCTCTAGTAGAGACTCTGTACTAATCCGATTTCTATGTATGTGGTTTGCTGAGACAAAGATGATACTTTTATGTTTTTTCAACCCAGGCAGGCAGGGATGGCATCTCACTAAGCCTTCTGAGACTCGTGGAGTACTTTGTGGTTGCCCCAGGCCATGCCTTGCTATCTGTAGCAAAGAGCATCCTGTCTGAGGCCGTCTATTAAAATCTTAATTTCAGGGCACCAGTTAGACTTCAGACCCCAGTTTATCTTCACCCTGATCAATATGAAATAATGAGAGTATGAGAATGAAGGAAAATCCCCACAGCCTCCTTCATTGGGGCCCCTTGCATTTTGGAATGTTCTCCATCCTAAACAGCTGGGAGTTGTAGGGCCAGATAGACATGTGGGGTGGGGGGTGGTTCCCCACCCAAGGGAGAAGCTGTTAGCTGCACAGAGTTCCTCTCTTAGTACACAACATTTTGAGGCAAAATGGAAAGATTGCCGCTTGGGAGGGAATTGGGTTTATTCAAATAATAGCAGCAAACAGCAAGATTTATGGTGCGTATTTCTGGGAAAGTGCTCTGCAGCAATCACGGGCCTGTCTGTGTTGCTGCCCCCTTGGGACTGCCTGCAGGTACAATATAGCTTAACTATATGAATATGTGACAAGGGCTGTGGGGAGTGTAGTTTCTAAATTATTTTCTGATGCTGTTTATGGAGGATGTGACTGTAGCTGGGGTGGGTCGTGGCAAGATGCACGATCAGTGGTGACTATGGTCTTAATCAGACATCCCAAAGACCTTGGGACATTGCTTTTTCTCTCAGAAAGAGGCTAGTATCAACTTATCAGTTAATACACTTGTACTCAGTGAGTCTGCTGGGCGAATCATCCTGTGAGGAGGTATGGAAGAGACCCTAAAATATTTCCAACATACACCAGGAGCTCTCCCTTCAGCTGGAAAGGAAAGATATTCTTGTGGGGTAAAGATAAGGGCCCTGGAGTGAGCTAGGAAGAAGAAGAAGTTAACACTGTCCCATCTTCTGCCAGGACAGAGGGGCTTAAATTACATTATCCTGTTCGACCATTCTCACCGAGAGGTAACATCTTCATCCCATTTTAGGGGTGAGAAGACTGAGGGCGGAGAAGTTAAGTGACCTCCTCCAGGTCCCACAGCTGGTAAGAAGCAATGAAGTGTTCATTCTCACTCTGCTGAATTCTGAAGGGTCTAGAATCATCGGGGTGAAGTTTTTAAATTGACTCCCTATTGATTTTGTCAGGGATAAGCACCAATTTTAGAAAAACAAAATAACATTTGGCTGCACTTCCTCTTACTCAGTTCGCTAAATGGGGAGTGGGGGGCACTGAGGAAACACTAGCTCTAGCTCTGAAGCTTTAATGTCCCTTCCTGTCGCTAGACTCTAAGTGATTGTTCTTGTCCATTTGCATTTCCACAGCCAGACTCTTTCCTGCCTGAATACTCCCTTCCCCCACTGCCATCTTCCCACGTTCATTTAGCTTCTCTCTCTCTCTCTCTCACCCTACACACACACACACATCCAGTCGCACACCTTCCCACCACACACCCATATGCAAAATAAAATTAGAAATACTGCCCGACTCTCAAGGTATTTAGGGAATGGAGATCTTCAATCAATAGAGCCCAAATCAAGCACTCCAGGCTCCCTTCCTCCCCAGCCAGTGCTGGAGCCTGGTGGAGCTTACTGAAGAGGGCCAGGACAGCCATGGTCTTGACACAAAGCAGCTCTACAGGAAAAAAGGCCACTTGAGCGTCTCTGTGTCTGCCCTGGAGCCACCGGAGACACAGAGCCATCAAATTCTCAGAATCCAAGATTCTCAGAATCTTTTGCTTACACAGAAGACCCTTCGAGAACATGGAAAGCTTCCCCAGCTTCCTTTTTATTTCTGCATACACTGATGTCACCAAATACCAAGAAAACAGTGTCTGATGGTTCAAACTATAGGCTGAGCTGTTAAGCCTATGGTCCTCATGTTAAGGGGTTGCCTTTGTTTTTAATCAGCCATGTGAGAAAGCAGTAGACATTTATCTATTATGTTAGCCTTCACCCAGAGGAGTGGGATAGGCTGCATGAGTGAGCTATGACAGCCCAGGAAACTGAGGCAGTGGTGGCACCATCATTCCTGTAATGTCTCTAAAGCTTTCTCTGCTCTGTCCCCATCCCCACTGACACACACTGGCCAAGTGTCCCCGTCATCTTAGTGGGCCCCAGTACCCATCTCAGAATAGTGGAGTAAGGAAGGGGAAAGACTGGAACTGGAACAAGGAAGTGGGGGTGGGGCTCCAGATGGGAACTCCTGGTTCAAGCTCTGGGTCTGGATCAATTCTTGCGCTGGGGGGCGCCTGGTTGACTTGGTTAAACATCTGCCTTTGGCTTGGGTCATGATCCCAGGGTCCTGGGATTGAGCCCTGCATTGGGCTCCCTGCTCATCGAGGAGCCTGCTTCTCCCTTTCCCTCTGCTAGCTGCTCCCCATGCTTGTACTGATGCTCGCTCTCTCTCTGTCAAGTAAATAAAAATAAAATCTTAAATATATACATACATACACACATACATTCTTCTGCTATCCTCCCTTCTCCCAAATCAGAGCTCCCCCTGGGTCTCAGGGTGACTGGGGTCGCATAGAGGCTGAAAGCCTGTGCGTTAGTTCGAATCCAGGCTCTGTCACTTTCCCGTTGGGTGACCTTGGCCCTGTGACTTAGGTTCTCTGTGCCTCAACCTCCTCATCCCATACAATGGGGATGACTGAACTTTGGCTGAGAGGGTTAACAAAGCTGTCTTACACTAAAGGCTTAGCACAGTGCCTGGTACGTACAAGAGCCCAGTAAATAGTGTCAATAATTATGAGCTAATTAGTGCTTACCATGGGCAGGCCCTGTCTCAGGGCTTTACATATATTATCATATAATTCTTACATCTGTTTTACAGATGAAAAACTTGAATCTGAAGATCACACAGCAGTGAATGGCGGACACTGAGACCCAGGCAGACAGGTTCTAGAGTTGGGGGGTCTCAACCCCAGTGTGCATACCGTCCTTGATCTTTATGGGTGTTGCCCCAGGCAAGCTGAGCTCTCAACCCCCCAGGCTTCTCTCCTTCCGAGAGAGGGGGGAGCTGCGAGGGTGTCAGCCACAGCAGGGAGGGAGGGAGCAGAGGATGGCTAGGACATTCCCATCAGCGCTGAATCCAGATTCCCCAGTTGGAATCGGCAGCTGAAGTCAGGCAGGGCGCCCCAGCCGGCTCCAGGGAAAGGGGGGGGGGCAAGTCCACGATGCTGAGAGGGGTGGCCAGAGCGCCGCCCCCAGGAGGGGAGGGAGGGGTGGCGGGGTTGAGGGGTGCCCAGCTGCCATCCCCGCCGCCTCCTGGCCCCCACTCGCTGGCGCCCAAGTGGGAGGAAGGCAGCTGCCCGCTCCCTCCTCCCCACATCCCCGCTACCTGCCCAGTCCCCCGAAGCGAAGCGTGAGGAGGCTGTGAGCCAGTGGGGCCGAGCCCACAACTTTGCAGCCTCGGGGAGGGCGAGAGCCGGCGTCCAGGGCTCCTCTTGTCCGCGACCGGAGCTCGGTGAGTTCGTTTCCCCACCCCTCTGCGGCGGTGCGGCGGCAGCGGCGGCGGCGCGGGGGGCGGCTTCCCCGGCGTCCAGGAGGCGGTGGCCGAGGGGCCGGCGGTCACCCGCGCCGCCAGCCTCGCTAAGGCTCCCGGCGTGCCGCCCTCCGCCGCCGGCGACGCCGCCGCTGGTAACGTGAGGACGGCTCCTCGCGCCCTCCGGCCGCCCGGGCGGGGTCCGCGGTCAGGTGCGGGGCCGGGGGGCCGCGGCCGCCCGCCCGCCGAGCGCCCCTAGCTCCCCCAGCCCCTGTCCGCCTTCCGGGCGCCGCGGCGCATCTGGAGGCTGCTCCCGCGCCCCCCTGGCGACCGGCGTGGGGAAGACACTTGCTTCGCCCGAGCCCGGCGCCGGGGGCTCTCTGGGGTGGGCAGCGCTGCCGCAGCCCCCGGGAGCGCCCGGTCGCGGGCGGCGCGGAGCCCCCAGCGACCACCCCCGGGCGTGCTCTGGGCTGAGCCCCCGCGGTGGAGAGAGGCTTGTGCTCCCCATGGCTGCCGCAGGTCCGCAGGGGCACTGGCAGCGGCAAAGGGGACTCCAAGGTGATCAGTCGCCCAATCCGGACGGGACAGCCTGGACCGAGGCCTCGTGGCACTCGCCCATCCTGGGTGCAGCCGCCTTCCCAGAACTTTTCTTGCGCCTAGGGCTCGCCGACTCCTTAGCCCCTGGAAAAGTTCTCTCGGGCGCCAGGAATCCTATTTCCCGGTGGCTTCCGAAGCTGGTCAGGAACCAGGGCTTTGGGGGGCAGGGTAGAGTGGGGATGCGGCGGGGGTGCTTATCGGCGAGGGTAGATCCGCCGAAAGGCTGGCAAGCATCCGCTCCCTCGCGCAGGGCGGGCTTGTTGGCATCGAAAGGGTTTCGGCGCCATCGGGGTTGTTTGGGTTTCTCGCTCCAGGAGGATGGGGGGAGGGCACGAAGGGGGGATTTTAATTTCGTCGCTTCAAATGAAAACGATCTTTGCCAAGAAATAGCCAGGGCAGCCAGCGATGGAGAGAGGGGCCGACCAGGACCGGCTGATACAGGTATCCAGCTGCACCCCCTTACCTCACCCGGTGGCTGGGCGCCGGTGTGAATGTACTGATTGTTTTAATTAATTGTTTTTAAAGCCAGGTGTCAGCGGCTGCGTGTGTGATACACAAATATATACATACACAAACACAGATACCAGGCGCACACAGATTACATGTAGAGTCATACACAGGGAACACCCCCCCACCACACACACACACACACACACACACACACACACACACACACACACACTCCCCACCACACACACTTGCAAATCAAGGATCTATAAGCACACAGACTTCCAAAGAGCCTTGGGTTATGGGTGTGGTCCCTAAGTATTGCCCAAGATTGGGTGGGGTGGGTTGGAGGGTCAGAGAAAAGAAGGTGAAGCAGGACTTCCAGTAGGTCCTTTCTCTCTGGCCCACCCAAATTCTTTGCTTTCTCCTCCAAGGGGGTCTGGAGGAGAAATCCCAAACCTGAGCTCCTTTCCACTGACATAAAGGGGCGGAGCCCTAGCCCCATGGCCCTCATCCCCTCCAAACAGCCAATAAGCCCTGCCCTTGCCCTCCCTGGGCTTGACCCCAGGGCTCCAGAGTCTCAAGGTCGAGGTCTCTCAGAAACTGAGGGAGCAGGCACCTGGAAGTAGGGCCTGACCCCCAGAGGCCGTTTCTGTTCGAGGTCTCACACCTGCTTGGTTTAGGGAAGAGAGGAGGGGTGATCTAAGGGACAGGGACGGGGAGCTTGGATTTGGGTGGGGTGGGACTGGGGGACGACGCCCCACGGACACAGCAGTGAGTCTTCCTCTCACCCCGGGCCCCTTAGGAATGTAATCGAGGATGCTGGCCCTGAGGCTGCTCAACGTGGTGGCCCCCGCCTACTTCCTGTGCATCTCCCTGGTGACCTTCGCGCTGCAGCTCTTCCTTTTCCTGCCCAGCATGCGCCAGGACCCCGCCACCGCCAGGCTCTTCCCTCCCGCGCTGCTCCACGGGGCTCTCTTCCTGTTCCTCTCCACCAATGCCCTGGGCAATTACGTCCTGGTCATCCAGAACTCCCCCGACGACCTGGACGCCTGCCCGGGGCCCTCGGCCAGGAGGGCCCTGTGCCCCCCGCCCAGCACCCACTTCTGCCGAGTGTGCGCCAGAGTCACCCTGAGGCACGACCATCACTGTTTCTTCACGGGCAACTGCATCGGCGGCAGGAACATGCGCAACTTCGTCCTGTTCTGCCTCTACACCTCCCTTGCCTGCCTCTACTCCATGGTGGCTGGCGTGGCCTACATCTCCGCGGCCCTTTCCACCTCCTTCGCCCACCCCCTGGCCTTCCTCACTCTCCTTCCCACCTCCATCAGCCAGTTCTTCTCTGGTGAGTGGCCTTGGCCGGCAGGTTGGGCCCTACAACGAGGACCTTCCACCCCACCCCAAGTTTGCCAGATTTAGCAAATAAAAATATAGAATGCCCAGTTAAATTGTAAGGCCAGATAAACAATGCATACCTTTTTAGTATGTCCTAAATATTGCACGGGGCATACTTAAATTTTAAAAATTCTGTTATCGAGGCACCTGGGTGGCTCCACAGGTTAAGCCGCAGGCCCTTGGTTTGGCTCAGGTCATGATCTCAGGGTGGTGAGATCGAGACCCGCTTCCTGCTCTGCGCTCAGCCTCGATGATCCTCTCCCTCTGCCACCGGCCCCCACCCAGAGTGCTCTCTCTAAAATAAATAATCTTTTTAAAAAATAAAAAGTAGGTAAAAATTCTGCTATCTCTCTGAAATTCAAGTTAACTGGGCATGCTTTATTTTTCCTGGCCACCTCCCTCTCCACTCCCCATCCTCATTCATCATCTCCTCCTTGCTTGCTGGGAACCATCTGCGCATAGAATTTCCTGAGGCTCTAGACGATAGCCCTGCTCTGTGCCAGGTGGGACTGGGTGCTGACCACCCCTCCATGCAGCTTCTGAGGTACACCCGCACTTTGATCTCCCTCTGCTTGGACTCCAGTCCTGCCCACACATTCCCCCAAGGATTTTTGTCTTCCAAAGATCTTGCCAACCAACCACAGTAAGACTGACCAGGGTGCCAGGCCAGCCCCAGCAGGAAGCTAAGCCCTGCTGTCCTGCCCACTGTGTTTGTCCCCACCAGGCTGCTCTCTAGCTTGCAGACAGCTTAGCGCAGAGAGCACCCTGGTTGGAGATGCAGCCCTGTTTAATGGATCCATTTTCACATCACAGAGCTGTGCGACTGGTGTTGGATTTGACCCTCCAGGGAGGCTCTCGCACTTGCAGGAGCCAGGCATGTGGCCCTTCCCACTGGCACTCAGCTGTGCACGCAGTGGGGACAGGGAGAGCTCCTTGGTTCCTGGCCTAGAGGGACCTGGCTCCTGGTGGCAGTTCTTACCACTTTACCTGGCCTTGAAATTTACCCCTACCTCACTTCCTTCCATTTCATCCCTACCCTGGCCTTTGACGTCACCTCACTTGGTTCTTAAAGTTGGTAGCGTGCATGCCTGTGTGCGTGTGCGTGAGTGGGATTGTTATTTCCATCTCTCAGATGAAGACATTGAGGCTCGATGGGATTAAATGGATTGCCCAGGATCTGACCCCTCCTGACCACCAGCCTCTGTCCCCCTCCCGCCAAGTCTTGAAACAGCCCCCAGCAGCACAAGGAATGCAGCATGTTTTTTCATCTAGTGACCTTTTAGGGACAAAGAAAGACCTTGCAGGTACTTCCACTGAGAGCCTAAGATTGTCTTGATGTGCATGGGCTGGCCATTCACAAAAGTTGTGCCCCACTCTGGGGGAAGCCATCATTTTGGTCTTTGTTGGGGCTGCAGCCCAGTCCTTCACAGGAATAGAGCTGTTGCTCCATCAGACAGCGGAACTCAGAGGTCCACGAAGGCCCCAGCTGTAGGGTCGCCTTAAGGTCTGATGACTGAGTTCGGCCCAAAATTCAGAGCTCTGGGCCTTCTGGATCCTGGCATGGGCACAGGAGTCTGCTGGGCCCAAAATAACCAGGCCGGGGGAGGGTGGGTGGGCGGGCTAGAGGGTGGAGTGTGAGCACAGGCAGGTGGAGGGATAAGGAGAGCCAGAGAGCCTGATTACACTTCTTTTCCAAGCAGCTTCATCACATCAAAATGAATGGTTCCAAAGGGAGGATCTTGAAATGGTTTGATTTGAGATAAGCCTGGGCTTGAGGCCTGTCCATATGTGCTAGGTTTGGGAGACAGGATAGAAAGGAAGAGGGGCTCTTGCTTTGATCTGGGGAGAGAAGAGAGCCAGTCAGCGCCTACCTTGGGGCTCAGATCTCTGTTGCAGCAGAAGCATGAGTCCCACCCCTTTTTGCCTTCTCCCCATCCCCATGGAGAAAAGGAGGCCAAGATTTCTAATCACCAACTCTCCCACCCCATCCATCTTCCTCCTCTGCTGACCTGACTCCTCACTCCCTGCCCACATTCACACCTCACTCCTTCAGCTTCTCCTTTCCTATCTCCTCTCCCCCTATTCTCAATCCAAACACTCGCAGACACACTCTCTCTTTTCTGCTGGGTGGAGGAGGTGGAGCTGGTGGGCAGGAGGGAGCAGGAAGGCGAAAGTGCCTTCATAGATGGAGCTGTCCTCAGCTGTGGTGCTGCCCCGAGTCAGGCCTGCCCGCAGAGCACAGCACGGCTGTGAGTGCACGCCCACAGCTCAGGCTGAGGTGGGAGACTGGCCAGTCTGATTTGGGAAATAGCACTTTCTTTGGGCTTCAGGGGATTGGTATAAGTTGTGTCACCTCTCTGAGTCTCATTCATCTCATCTGGGAAATGGAGAGGTCACTGTCTGACCTGTGTCATGGCATTTGGCTAAGTGTGCCAGTATGGCGGGTGCCACCAGAAAGCCCAGGAGAAAAGGAACTAACATTTGCTGAGCGCCTATTATGTGCCACCCAGCATGCAGGTTTCACTTCATTCAATGCCCATAAGTCCAAGAGGTAAGTAGTCTCATATTCATTTTAAAGGCCCGGGAGCCCAAGGCTCAGCAAGGTTAAACCACTTCTAAACTATAAAACTGGTGTGACTCCAACCCAAGATTTAATCTCAGGGCTGCCAGCCCCTGGAGCTGACCAGGGCACCGCGCGGCCTCTCTGGAGCTGCCTCCGCAGCTGCTGCTTGATGAATGAGCCACTTTGGGAGGGAGGGAGCTTCTTGTCCCTCAACGTCTATTAAATATGCTAGGTGACAATCTGTCAAAGGTGTCATAGATGCTTGGTAGGAAGGAGGGGTGGAAAGATTGGACCGTGTGACCGTTCAGGCCCTTGAGGAAAATTCTGTGATTTTCTAAAAGAAGCAGAACTATTATTAAATAATTCAGAGGAGCTGAGGCAGCCAGGCTGAGCAACTTCAAACACTTCAAGAGAAAGCAAGTCCCCAGAATAGCCTTTTGTAGCTGCTGCAAGGGGCCAGGAAAAGGCCATGAGGTCTTTTCCACATGTCTTGATTTAGTGCCAGAAAAAAGCCTATGGAAAACAGCTTCCGTCAGCCCAGGCTTATCCCTGCGGCTGAGTTGCAAGGCAGGCCAGGCATTTGACAGCTCTGATGTTCTCACATCCCAGCTCGAGGGCCATCTTTGCCCATCAGCATTCCTGGAGCCCAAAGGGCACCATGGGCCCAGGATCCTTCATCCTACACGTGGCTGCCTGAGCTAACCTGTGCTGACAAGGAAGAAGTGGGTCAGAGGGATGGAACAGCCTAAGTCCTGTCCCTCTGCTGCCCCCACGCCAGCTGAGGGGCTGCTCAACATGTTGGCTAGAGTGAGTTTCCATCCCCTGGGTAGCTGGGATTATTTGTCTCCAACTTCGAGAGGAGCTACTGCTATCAAAGCTCCCAGGACGGATGGCGAGAGGAGGCTGCTAATGAGCAAACCTGAATCCAGCCCACAGCCTCCTGCCTGCTGAGTCCACTGGGGCTCAGACTGGACAAGTTTTAAAAGCCCAGCCCTTAGGGGTCTGGAAACTGTGGACTGAGGAGACCAGGGAAGATGTGGGCCAGAGACAGGGGATGCTGGAGAAGGATATGGTTGACATTTGCAGAGGCTGAGGAGGCTGTAAGGTGGGGTCCCGGGAGTGGGTACATTCATCTCATTGGAAGTGGGTGGGGGGGGGCACCTGGGTGGCTCAGTCATCAGGTGTCTGCCTTTGGCTCATGTCATGATCCCAGCATCCTGGGATTGAGCCCCATATCGGGCTCCCTGCTAAGTGGGGGGCCTGCTTCTCCCTCTCCTGCTCCCCCGTGCTTATGTTCCCTCTCTCGCTATCTCTGTCATAAATAAAATCTTGAAAGAAAAAAAAAAAAAGGAAAGGGTGGTGGTGGGCTTGCCCTGCAGGGAGTGAGGGGCTGAGGAGGGTTTTTGAGTTCTCTCCTGGACCCACTGTCTTAGCTGCTGGACAAGTCAAGCTAGGTGTCTCCACCATGGTTTTCAAGCCTGCAGCCCATCGGGGACTCCAAGCCCTGGAAAGAAGGAGAAAACTTGATGGTCTTAAGACTTAAATGTGAGCCCTTCTTGGATCTAGTCTCCTCATCTGTGAATGGCCCTCAGCAGGGAGCACTGCACTGAGTGTGAACCACAATGCTAGTCACTTTGTACACCATTTCCCTGAATCGTGCAAGGTTACTGAGATCTTATGGGATCATTATTATTATACCCATCTTACAGATGAGCAAACCGCAACTCAGAGAGATTAAGAAACTTGTACAAGACCACAGAGCTGGGAGATTCAAGCTAGCATGGACTGACCATCCCAGATCTGAACAAGAATGTGAGATCTTTTACTCAGGGGGTATTTAAGACCTATAATAGAGAGTGCTAGTTTGGAGGGGTTTGAGAGTTCCTGCCCAAGGCAGGAAGCTGGACTGATGACCTTGGGGGCCAATTCCAGCCTTAGCAAGGCTCAGGCTGACAGGACAGGTCTGGCCAAATGCTCTAGTGGCCATGCTGTCCTCTTGTTAACACTAATGACTGAATTATTCTCTAAGTCAGTGCTTTGCACTGCCCTTGGGGCTTGTGATTTATTCTTCTTGATGACTAGACCCTGTTCTCCATCACGCTGTCACTTTCGGGAGTCCTCCCAGCCAGTGCTCCCAGCTCCATAGGAAGGTGGCATTGCGGTCAAGGCAACTGCCCAGGAGCCAGCTCCCTCTCTAGCATCCCCAGCTCACCCCCCTCACCCCCTGTGAAACATCTTCTCCCTGATCCCAGATGCAAAGAGAAGGCAGAGAGAGACCGGGTCTCTGACTCCAAGGAAATGTTAGCATCCAGGCACTGCCCAGGAAGCTTCCTTTTCTTCTGCCCCACATCCCCAGGTCTCCCCTCTACCCTCAGGAGCCATTGTCACTAAGAAAAAGTTAGGTCAACTAGTTCATCCTTGCTCTCCCTCGATGCAGCAGCCCTGAGATTGCTACAAAATATAGCTTCAGTCTCATTACTCTCCCTCTCTCCCTAGCGGAAAGCGCCTGCATGGATTGCTTTTCAGTACGTGGCCTGGGTGTAAATCGAGTTTGGTGTTTCCCCCGCCCCCCTGCAGGAGCTGTCCTCGGTTCTGAAATGTTCGTCATCCTCATGCTCTACCTCTGGTTTGCCATCGGCCTGGCCTGCGCAGGCTTCTGCTGCCATCAGCTGCTGTTGATCCTCCGGGGGCAGACCCGTCACCAGGTGCGGAAGGGGGTGGCGGTGAGGGCCCGGCCCTGGCGCAAGAACTTACAGGAGGTCTTCGGGAAGAGGTGGCTGCTGGGCCTGCTGGTGCCCATGTTCAATGTCGGAGGTGAGAGCTCCAAGCAGCGTGACAAGTAGCAGGCATTCCCATCATTTCTCTGTGTGTGTCTTGACTCTCCCCGAACATAAGACCATGACACTCTTGTCTCCACCCATGACCCAATACAACCTTGAGCTGGCAAGATCCTAACACCCACCCCTGGTCTGTGACCTACAGAGAACTGTGTTGCCTAACGGATCGTGGCAAGAAGGAAAAATGGTCACTCCTAGGAGCCAGCCAACTGTTAGGAGGCCTCTGCTTTTGTTTCTTCCCCTTGGAGCCCCTGCCCTCCCGCTCTGCCTTGTTCATCCACTCTCTCATGTCTCATGTCATCACTGCTATCAGATAGAACTTTCCCTCTCAGATTCATGTTGGGAGTGGAGAATGGATTCTTGCTGTTGGTATGATTCTCCCCAGGACCCAGAGGCTGGCAAAAATGTTTAAAATTACCATGTGTAAGAGGTAGCCAAGTTGGCTCTGCCAACTGTTTGTGAGGTTGGGAAAGGAGGGGTGTGTTATCCTCTCTGTGGAATTGTAAGCAGTGGAAGGGAAACTCAGTAGCTTACTGTCCTATCCCCAAACTGCAAGGCCCTTTCTCTGGGAGGCAGCAGCTAATGACCAGGGATTTCCAGGTGCTGTCCCCTGTCCAGCCTGCCCCAGCTGGCCACCCCAATCCAGTCTGGGACCTGCCTGGATGCTTCCTTTCCCTGGCACTCTTCCAGGTTTTCCCACCTTCATCTCCAGCCTCTGGGTCTTTGCTAGGTGCTGGGGAGGCAAGGAAGAAGGAAGAAGGAAAGGAGAAATACTGACAAATGAGAGAAGCATGTGACTGCATAACCATACAGAAGGGGGTGTGTATGTGTGTGCATGGGGTGGGGGAGAGATGGTGAGGACGTTTGTTGTGAAATAGAGAATGCTTAGGGGAGTGGAGGAGAGAGGTCACACACAGGTTGGGCACTGGGATATTTGGGGAATGAGAATGAGGGGACCAAGTGGGTTCATTTCTGAAGGATGTTCTAGCAGCTAAACTGTTCAGTGTTTGAACGGCTGCCTGGGGAAGTAGAGTGCCCCATGGAGGTGTTCCAGCAGGGACTGGTCAGTCATCTGGCAGGCATGCCATGGAAAAAATTTCTGCACAGGGTCAGGAGAGGGAAGATCCTTTCCCACCCCCAAGATTCTAGCATCCTCTTTGTGATTGCTGGTCCAGAGGCAAGAACTATAGAGATGCCTGTGAATTATTTGCTTTCATGAAGCGGGAAGCTGGCATGTAGGGGTCTGAAAATCATAATGCAAACTTCCAGGACCCTACCCAGCTACCAAGGAGGGAATCTCTGGAGAGACAGGATGACCTGGGTATTAATGCTAGTTGAGGGAGGTTGGCATTGAGGAAAGGGAGACGGAGCAGTGTCGGGGCAGGTGGGGGCAGTGTTGAGGGAGCTGGAAGGTCATGCTGTGCTCTGAGAGGTGAGATGGGGAGAGTTGAAGCTCAGGAATGGGGGAGACCAGAATATAGAGGTGTAGTTGTGAAACCAGTCCTGCATATCTAATTGGCTCTGGATGGGGCTACAGCTGTGTGTTCTGGGACCCAGAGGGTCAAATCTCTGGGACATATTTGGAAGTTTGGACGGCACAAGTGCCCCTTCTGACTGAATCCCAAGGCCAGTCTGCCATTCATGCAGACAGCAGGGCTGAAGCCCACACCCTACAGTGTCCACAGCGACCTCACGCGTTGCCACACAACACCCTGAGCTCTTGAGCAGAGTTCAGGAGGACTTTCCTTGGTCCTGCCTTCATGCCCTCTATAGGGCTAATATAGAAATGGCACCCCTGGCTCACACTCCCTTCTGTATTCATTCATTCATTCATTCATTCATTCGTACATATATTTACTGAGTGCCAACGATGTGCCAAGTCTCTTCCAGGCACTGGCATAAGATGATGAACAAGACACACTTGTGATGAGCACTGGGTGTTACATGTAAGTAATGAATCACTAAATTCTACTCCTGAAACTAATATTACATTGTATGTTAACTAACTGCAATTCAAATAAAAACTTGAAACAAACAAACAATGATGAACAAGAAAACAAGATCTCTGCCATCAGGGGCATCTTGTCACTGCCCCCTTGCACGGACTCCCACCCCTTGAAAAATGGTTTTTCTGCCATCTTGGTGTCAGCCGGGCAGATCCCTTGGAAGGGAAGGATATTTGCAGAGAAGGCTGAAGAGGAGCCCAGGCTGGCAGGCTGGAAGTCACTGGGGATCATCTTCACCCTCAGTTTTGTCCATACCTCAGCAGTGGGAGTGGAAGGGGCAGAAAGAGAGGCCCTGGGCAATCCAGGCCTTGGCTCTCTCCCAACCCCTGAGCTCAAGTTCGGAAGCTAGCCATGCCATTCCCAGCCTCCTGGAGGCTCAGCACTGTGAGACTTGACGTGGGGAGAGGAAATAAAAGGGAGACCTGCAGGGTTTGACTCCTGGCAGACTGGTCAGTGGGTGGTGATGTGGGGAGGTTGCTAGGTGTGGAACCGGAGTAGCATTTGTACACATGGCCCTGTATTGTTGATGAAGAACATCAATAAAATATGTGGTGTTAACTTGGATTTGATGTGATCGCACGGGCGCTGTGGTTGGTAGCGGGGCTGGCAAGGCTAGAATGCACCTACGCAGTCATAATAGCTGTTGAAATACTTAAGCTAAGTATTAAAAATACTTCTGTTCTAGTAGGTAAATAGCCATTGTCCAGACTCCCCCAGTAAACCCCATCCCCCTGCCCCAGCTGCTTCCGTGCCTCCCCTCGAGCCCCTGGCTCACCTCAGAATCCAGTGATGAAAAGGGCCATGCCTGTTACTTGCACGGAACCCTGGGATCCTACTCCAGCCCATCAGCTAGTGTCCTTTGTGAATGAGCAGGGTTGTGTTGTGTGGTCGGTAAATATGTACTACCCCGGGGCTGTAGCAGGTCTACATGCTGGGATCTGTGGAGCCATGGGGACCAGGGGTAGAATGTCTAACTTGAGAACCTTCCTCCACTTCCTTCCACTTTTCTTCCTCTCCTACCCCTTCCCAGGTCAGAGAACAGGTGGGGAGAGAATGAAGTGGAGAAGCCACCTGGTTCTCCATCACAGCCAGAGCTGACCATCCTTGAGGATCAGCCAGGCTCCCTGACCTCTCTGAGACTTCGGGCTTCGGGATACCCAGTCCTCGGGGCAGCTGCGAGGGGGTTGGGCCCTGCAGGGAGAGAGTGGTCCTTGAGCAGGTGCATGAGCATGACATCTGACACATCCTAAAGATAAGCATGACATAACTACAAAGTGCTAGTTCCACTTGGGCTGGTGAAGAACCTTCAGCCAAGGCCAGTATTGTATATGGGTCTGCATTCCCTGTACACATGCCAATGAGCAACAAAGAAGGTAGACCCCAGGTATACTGGGCAAGGGAGTGGGGGATGAATGGAGGTGTGGCTAATCTTCAGCACATCCTAGAGCATGGGCTGTCTACACTCCACAGGGCAGACACTCTTGCGTTTTCACCATTGTATCCTGAATGCCAAGCAGGGGCGAGGCACATAGTAGGTGCTCAGTAAACATTGAGCAAATGAATGCTTAGATTTTGTGCTCATTTGCTCACTCCACATCTCTTCTGTTCTGTGCACATTGTGGGGCTAGAAGACAGATGAGACATGAGATGAGACAATGCTGTCCACCAGGGGTTCACATCCTGGAGAGGTTCCTGGGAGAGCCCAGAGGAGAAAGAGAGCTCGTCCTAGCTGTAGGGTCCAGGGAGTTTCCATGTGAACTGCAGAGCCTGGAGAGGTGGATGAGACTTAAGCAGGTGGAGATGGACAATGGGGCTTTCCAGGAAAAGGGAACAGACCTGGAACCTTGGAGTGATCATGGGATGGTGAGCATAGGGGACAGCACAGAGGGGTAGAGGGAGTTAAATCTAGGAGCTGGCACCTGAGCAGAAGGGGGCCTTGAATGCCAAATTAAGAGATCTGGAGTGAAGTCGATAGGGTAACCATTGAAGGTTGTGAACAAGGAAGCTACATGATTAGAGCTGGATTTCAGAAAGTGGGGCTTTGGTGGGTAGGCTGGAAAGGGGGAGCACCCAAGAGGAGGTATTGTCATGAGCTGAGGGTGACATAACCAGGGTTTGGGTAGGAATACTGGCTGTGGGCTGGTGAGAAAAGGAAGTGTCAGAGCCATTGCACAGACATGGAGCTTGACTTGGAGGGGTCCAGGGGGAGAAGGCCCGAGAGGATCCTGAAGGTTGAGATAGGATGGTCAAGGTGACCTCAAAGGAAAGGCCATCAGGAGCACTGGAGTGGGGAGAAGATCATGACCCCAGGGTTCAGGGTAACCAGGATCACTCTCCTCTGTCCATGGCCCATTGGTTGGCGATTTTATCCCTCTTAACTAACCACTCTGTAACCTCGCGTTGGAGGAAGAGATTTGGGGCAATCTGTACATCGTGCCATGCAGCACGGCTTCCTGGCTGCCAAAGCTGGGAGAAACCATCAGCCTGTGGCAATAGAGGTCACAAGTCCTTGAGGAGACCTGAGTCTCCACCGGCTCTAATGAAGAAGCCAGTCTGTAGGTCTCAGCAGACATCTTTTAGCTAGTCTCCTTTCCCAGGAACATGGCTGTCCTTGTCACTCCATGTCCTTGTCACTCCATGCACGCAAACCACAGTACAGTATCCTGCAACTGACCTCATTACTCCCCTCATCCTCTGGGATGCTCTCCAGGATGCTGGGGAGGCAGCTCCTCCTGCTGGGGAGAAAAGGAGGGGCTGGGCAGGGAGCTGGGATACATGGCTCCTGCCTTATCTGAGATGGTTTAGAAATGAGGCCAAACCTTGGACCTGGTCGCCAACCAGAGTGAGCTTGTTAATGGGGTGGGGGGTCTGGGGTAGCTCTGTTGCTCCTGATGTTGATTTCTGTTTCTGTCTTCATTCTTCTCTCTGTGGGTGGTGCTGGCCCAGCACCTCCAATCATTCCTCAGACATTCATTGATGCCCACTCCATGCCAGGCATGATGCCAGGAACCAGAAATACAAAGATGAATGAGACCTATTACCTGACCTTGGGACGCTCACAGGGAAGAGGACCAATTGCAGACAGTTATGAGGGAGAAGGACAGGGTACTGCAGAAGAAGAGCACTCACTTGGTGGGCAGGCTGGAAGACTTCCCAGAGGGGGCAACGTCAGGATCATACAGGATGAATACGAGTTGCCAGACAGGAAAGCAGGGCCATAGGTGGGGGTGGGGGTACGAGGGACTGTGCAGGGGCAGAGATGCCACGTGACTCCTGGGAATTGTGAGTCTCCATTTAGGAGTAATGGGGGCCTGAGTAAGCATGCTGCCATCACAGTTGGAGAAGAGGTTCGTCCTCAAGCCATGTTCCCCGCAGACCTGCCTCTTCCCTTTGATCCATTTACAGGTTGTCCTGCTTGGAAGAGTCGAGCACACACTGATGTCTAGTTTTTCTAGTAATCAGCAGGGTCTTCCAGGTTGGAGACCAAAGGCAGAGGGTCACCTTCATTTCCCAGGAGTTCAGTTTAAAGCCATTGGAGAGCTCAATTGGAAACATCAGGGACCCTTGGGCTCAAATAAGAGCCTCTGGGAAGAGCTCCCCATCCCTCTTTCCTTCCCATACAACTTTGGAAGTGGTTTAGAAGGAAGCTGTTTCTACCAAGATGACTACGAGGGGCTCACCCAAAGGGGTGGGCTTTCCCCCATGTACAGGTTCTCACCCCACCGGAGAGGCCTATGGTCCCTTCCTGGCCCACAGCAACGCCCTTTCTCTACACCGCCACCTAGTGGCCGCCTCAGGCCTCTTCCCATTAGCTCTGACGGGTCAAGCCCCCAGGGAAATTTTCCCTCAAGTATGGGTTTTGCCTCCCAGCTGAAACTTGGAGAGTGGGAATGGCAATGGTGGAGTCCTCTGGTTTCCCCCAGTACCTAGCAGACAATATAGAGCCCTGACACTATGGCTGATGCGTGAGTAATTATAAGTAATAATGACCAACATTTACTGAGCATTCACTACGTGCCAGGCCCTTGTCATACACCCTTTACCTATAGTAACTATTTTCATTGCAACCCCTGCAGGCACGCTTTATTCATTACCCCTATGTTCCGGGTAAAGACACTGAGGCCCAGAGAGGTCATATAAGTTGGCCTTGCAGCTGGTAAATGCCAGCGCAGGGATTCAAACTCAGGCTATCTGCTCCCAAGTTCATCCTTTTTAGACTGTCTTTGTATTGTGGACTAATGTGGACATCCAGTAAATGCCCTGCTGACAAGTAACAGTCAAGTTTTCACGCATGAATTCATTGACCCACTCATTCATTTAACCTGTGTATGGGGCACCTGTTATTCAAGAGGCGCTGGTGGGTGCAGAGAAAGGAATTAGGCACAACCTCTGCCTTCAGAGAGCTCACAGCTGCTCAGGGTGAGTCTGTGAGAGAAAACGGGGTGGCTTCAGGACCCCAAGAACCTTGAGGTGTATCTGTCCCGCCCAGTCCGATGATTACGGCCCAGTTGCCTAGGAAGAAGCAGCTTCTTCCAGAGGCTACTCGTGAATATCTGCAGACAGTCCAGGCTGAGGACCCTCCCCTGGGCCTCAAGGATGATGTCTAGCAGGGGAAAAAGGCCTGAGCTATTTCTGGGCTGCTGCCCACCCCCAGGCAGTGTCAGTGTGCCTGCGGGAGGGGACCAGACACCGCCAAGGAGCTGAGCACAGCCAGCACGTCTCCACACCCACCCACTGGAGACCAGGGCAGGGGGGCCTCCGAAGACCTGGAAATGGAGCAGGCTCCAAGGCAGAAAGCATCTGCCAAAGCTTATCTGTGACATTCGGGAAAAGAGAGGCCTCG